AAGATATCACATTGCAAAAACGCTTAGTTTTTGGATTAGGGTTCAAGTTTTTACCAAAGACGCAAACTGATTTTTTATATTTTTTTTTGTTTTTGCTCCATTTGGAGGAGAACAGTACGTTTGACTTTTTGAAATTTAAAATCTAATCTTTGCACACGCAATTGTATTTTAATTAATTATTTMAAAAAAAAGCYGAAATTATGCACTTATTTTATTTTATGAGGTAGGTAACAGCACTAGTCTCTTTATCTTCAAATATAACTGACAATTTTTTATGTTAATTCGTATATGGAAAATGGACGTTTTTTTCATCAAAAATACCCATATTTTGTTAATTACATTTCATACACCGTGATGAATGAATGGACTCACAAACCTGCATCAACTTTTAAAATAAAATCGTCGCCTAGAACCCAGYAAAAACGATAATTACTGAATCAAGTAAAACCAGAGATTACTAATCACTGGTAAAACCACCTTTTGTGCGGTAGAGATCGCATGAAAGTAACTTRAAGCAAGAARAACGGCCAAATGTTCTTAGATATAAATGTTATTAGGAAAAATGTATAACAAATATTTTACAATTTATTAGCGCAACTGTTTCAAATTTGGTTAAGAGAATTCCGCATGAACAAAGTGGCTTACTTTAATACTTTCAATATTCAATACCGCAACACGCGCAAGAGTTCAACATTCTAACAAAATCAATAATTAACAACAATATTGATATTTTTTCGGTATAACTTTTTCAAAAGATTTGATTATTCTGACYCACACAAATACAAAATTTGACGTCATTTCGAATTTAAAAGGCCAAAATGTAGAGGATTTTCAAAAGTAAATTTCATTCAAAWTSTATGAAAATGTACATTGAAACGAAATTACCGCTTTTTCCAACGGGAAAAATGCTTTTTTATAAAACTGTATTAATTCAGCTYATCTCATTTAATTAATTTAAATCTAAACACTTACTTCCAAAAAGAATAATGTAATAATAATAACATAAACATTTACTACTTATCCTAGCACCTTCTTTTAACTTTCCGATTAGCCAAATTGACTCTATTTTTTATTATTGGATTTTTATTTTGTCTGTATACATTGCGAGTAAGTTTTCTTTTTGTGTCGACAAGTTTTTTCGCTTCCAAATTTATCAATGCTTTGCGAGTTTCAGTTAATTTGTCATTTTCTATTGATTCCCTTTTCTCGTTTGTTTAAACATTTTTAATATTTTAAGTGTTTGTTGGTGGGTCGTGATGGCCAAAAATATTGAAAATGTATGGTGAAACCCAAAAAGGCTTCCTATACAGGGTATTTTATTAGATAAGGAATACATGATGACGCTGTATCTCAGTTTTGCAATAAAATGTAATCTCGAACACAATTTAAAAAAAAATCAGATTATAACATTGAAATGCAAACATCAAAAGTTGATGGCTAACAAATTCCCAAATAAAACATTAGTGGCGATTAAATTTCAATTTAAGTTTCACACAAGAAACAAGCCAAAATCAGACCAAAATCCTATTTGGCATGTTCAAGCGTTTTCCCAAAAAGTTGTCGACTAAATATTAAATGAAATTTGATCGTCATTTTGGCGTTAAAATGGCCCTATAAATTGGCGTTACATACTAATATAGGTTGATTGGCGGAAACAGTTCAAGTCCATCTAGTATAAAATTTTCAATCTTGAGCCTATAGTTTATAATACATTCATTCCCTTACAAACTTCTTTTTGGGTATTTCGCCTCAAAAAT